GTGTTTCAGCCCCACCACAAGCACTTTGCTTTGTTCTCCTGCAGAGTTAGATTGAATTAGGAGATCATTTAAGTTGGGAAAGACTTCCAAGATCGAGTCCAACCATCAGCTGCCTGTTCGCCACTAAAATATGACCTCAAGTGCCAATGTCCATGTGAGTTTGGAATACAAAAGGGAAGGCCTTTCTTCAAGGCCGGGTTGGACAGGGTTTGGAGCAACCTGGTCCAGTGGAAGGTGTCCCTGCCCATGGCAGAGGGCCTGAAATGAGACCGTCTTTAAGATGGTCCCTTCCAACCAAACCCCTCTGGGATTCCGTAAAATTCCCAGCAGTTGCCGATAACTCGCTTTCTCAGAGGTGAGATCCTCGCCACCAAATCCTTCCTGCTTTTGTGTTGCCTCTGTTGCAAGAGCTGCTTCTGTTCAGTATCAGCATCTCCCACCACTTTGTTGCAGCAGTTGCTGTTCGGGAAGTGTCGTTGGATCCTCCAGAGAATTAGTGTCATTCCATCAGGCCTGGGCCTAATTTCCTGCTGGTCTCGCAGCTCAGCCGGGGACACTTCCCATCTCCACAGCTGGCAGTGGCTCTGGAACGCCGGGAGGTGGCAGAGACGTCTGGTTTATTGCCCCGGGGGGGTGTGGTGTTTGTGACAGATTAATTAGCGAGCCGAGATCTCCTCCGAGCCTCCTCGAGTCTCATCCTGTCGCTCCACGTCCGAGCATTTCCAGGCTCCCTGCGGGGCAGGGAAGCTCGTTCCGCTCTAACCACGCGTTGCTTCTGCAGGCTTTGGACTTCAGCTTGGATGGGAAGGTGAACTTGACGGAGCTGACGCTGGCGCTGGAGAACGAGCTGCTGATCACCAAGAATGGGGTCCACCAGGCAGCCCTGGCGAGCTTCAAGACGGAGATCAGGCACCTCCTGTGAGTCAAACGCTCGCCCCCAAGGATTGCAGAAAAATATAGTTGAAAAATTTAAAAAAAAAAAATTTAAAAAATGAAAAAAAAGGATGTTGTTCCCAGTCTGGGACCAGTCTGGAAGTGGTCACTGCTATCCCCCCAGGGGTCATGGATGGCTAAAGATTGCACAGCATAGGATAGAGGCTGGTGCAGTTTGTTGTCAGTACCTTTAATCCAAACTGATTTCTTGCATCCCAGAGCTTTTGCCATGTGATAGCCGTGAGGGGCAGGTACAAAGTCACTGTGCAACCCCCCTGTTTTCATTAGAAAGTCAACACAGTTTGACTTTGCACTGGACCTGCCCTGCAGGTTTCTCTGTTGAGAGAGTGTGGGAGATGAGAAATGTTTCCCTCTACGTATATTTATTAATTTATAGCTTATATATACGTATTACTGAAGCTCAAATCTTCCCACACACCAACTGATCATCTTGTCCACCCCGCTTTGGAGACCTTGGCTTTAAGCACTGCCCCCTCAGTTTTGTGTGGATTCACTCCTGTTGTGATTGTTGCATCCCATCTGCCACGTGCCCGAGCTCCAGCTGTTCGGGGTGTTTTGTTTGTGCTGCAAACCTTTGAATAGTTTAGAGATTCAGAATATTCATACTCAGATATGATGGGCTGGAAGGGCTAGGGGTGTTCAGCCCAGAAAAGAGAAGGCTCCAGGGAAACCTTAGACCCCTTCCAGTGTCTAAAGGGGCTCCAAGAGAGCTGGAGAGGGATATGGGACAAAGGCTGGAGGGACAGGACAAGGGGGAATGTCTTTCCACTGCCAGAGGGCAGGGTTAGATGGGATATTGGGAAGGAATTCTTCCCTCTGGGGGTGGGCAGGCCCTGGCACAGGTTGCCCAGAGAAGCTGTGGCTGCCCCTGGATCCCTGGAAGTGTCCAAGGCCAGGTTGGAGCACCCTGGGCTGGTGGAAGGTGTCCCTGCCCATGGCAGGGGGTGGAACAGGATAATCTTTAAGGTTCTTTCCAACCAAATTATTCCAGGATTTGATAAATTTGGGAAACTTGAGGTCTCAGGACCTATGGGGATATTAAGACATGTCTGGAGCTGTGGGTGCAAGTTCAAATCTAGTGACTAAATGCAGCTGATGAGACCCATGGGGAGCTTTCCGAGCTGTTCTTCTCCCCCAGAAAACCTTTGGGGGAACATCCTGGGTGACCTAAACCAGGATGGCTCTGCTTTCCCCTAGGGAGAGGTTTGACCAAGTGGCCAGAGAGAAGGAGAAGCTGCGTTCGGACTTGGAGAAGGCCGAGAAGCTGAAATCCCTGATGGCCTCGGAAGTGGACGATCACCACGCCGCGATCGAGCGCCGCAACGAGTACAACCTCAGGTGTGCTGTCCCAAACCAGCCCTCCCCTGCTCCAGGCACAGGTACTGCCTTCACCCCCAGCAGTGGTTGCCACCTTCTTCTTCTTCTAACGAGCTCCTCTGGCCCCCGGTGCCTTCGCAGGAAGCTGGACGAGGAGTACAAGGAGCGAATCGCGGCTCTGAAGAACGAGCTGCGCAGAGAGCGGGAGCAGATCCTGCAGCAGGCCAACAAACAGAGGCTGGAGCTGGAGCAGGAGATTGAAAAGCTGAAGACGGATGAGAATTACATCCGGGACCGCCTGGCCCTGTCCCTGAAGGTAACGGGGGGGACCCAAGAGTCGGGGTTTTCCCCGAAAGGGAGGGATGTCCTGAGCGGGCAGCGATGCTTGGGGAGGGGATGTGTTTTATGGTGTGTGTTGGGCTGGCCAAAAGGAGTTGAAGCAGCAAGATAGGTGTGTGTCTGTGAGAATCAGTTTTTGGGTCACCTCCATGGGCTGTTCCTTGGATTCTTCAGGCTCCAGTTCATGTCTCTGCTGCCATCAAGTGCAGAGCCCGTGTGTGCACGGCTGCCTTGCTGGTTCTTTTCCTGTCCAACCAGGAGATAAAACACCTTGACAGTGGTTAAAATGCTGCTTTAAAAACAAGTTAAATAAACAAACCCAAACATCTAAAGCAAACTTGCTGTTATGCCTTTTGATCCTTTGCACAAATCCAGCGTTCACACTTGCTGTGGCAGGAGTGGGTTTTGTGCACGTGGATTCGTAATCCCCATCTTTGGCTGAAGCTTGGAACAGTGTCATGCTCCAGCTTGACTGGGAGTAGTAACTTTTTTTTTTTTTTTTTTTTTTTTTTTTTTTGGAATGAGTTACCACAAGCTTTTATTTATTTTCCTCCTCCAAATGCTGAGGGTGTTGTTTGGGGGGGGTGGTGGTGTTTTTGTTTGGCCCAGGAAAACAGCCGCCTGGAGAGCGAGCTGCTGGAAACGGGAGAAAAACTGGCTGAGTGCGAAAGTTTGGCAAGCAAACTGCAGAGGAACTTGGAAAACGTCCTGGCTGAGAAGGTAAACCCTCCTTTTCCCGGTGGGATTCCAGAATTAAATCCCTTTTTAAGTTCCTGCATTCGAGGTGCCAGTTGAACTGACAGCCACAGGCTCCTGGGGTCCTTATCCAGGTGGGACCAAGCCTGCCTCGGTGACGTGGGATTGCCTTCCAGCTACAGGAATTAAAGATGCTCCACCTTAGCTGTAGTTTTACTCTAACTAAAGTAGGAAGCCTTAGAATGAAGCAATCATCCTGCAGATCTGCAGGGATTTTATATTTTTTTTCCCCCCAGTGCAAAATTTTGGATAAACCCAACGTGTGCAGGTCCTTCCCAGGGAAGTGGATCCCTGAGGAGTTAGATATGATATGGCACCTCTGCTGAAATGTGTGAATGCTAAACTAGAAAACTGAAATCAGAGGGAGCACGAGAACTGTGCTGGCAGACAGTGTTTTGAGAGAGGTGGCTCATTGTTTCCCCCCTAGCAGGGAAATAATAATTTCTTTGTATAAAATGAGAAATAGGAGGGGAGGAGGTGTGGGCTGCAGGAACGGCATCCACGCTGTGCTGAGCAGGGCTGGTTGGTGGGTGAGCAACTGGATCCCATTCCTGTGTTTCAGTTTGGTGACCTGGATCCCAACAGTGCAGAGTTTTTCCTGCAGGAGGAGAGACTGGCCCAAATCAAGAGTGAATACGAGCAGCAGTGCAGAGTAAGTGGTGCCCAGAGCTGAGATCTGACCCCCTTCTGCACCCAGACTATCCCAGGATCATTTAGGCTGGAAAAGCCCAACCCTACCCCCAGCACTGCCAAGGCCACCACTAACCCACATCCCAAGTGCCACATCCTTATTACTGCAAACAGCAGCACGGGAGGGCTTGGAAAGCTCTTCCCACAGGGGCAACTGGCTGAGCTGAAGAGGATGAGGTGCCCCAAGGGTGGGCTTGGGAAAGGGTCTGTGGAGCCCTGTGAAGTCAGAGTTGCAGGAACTTGCAGCAGAAATCAGATACATCCACATCTTGCTGGTTTCCAAACCCCTGGTATCTTATTAAAATGAAACTGGGCATGGAAAGTTTGTCTTCCCCCCC